TTAGCCCCTGAGCAGCGAGCTTTTATCTTCATGCATCAGAACCAGTATCTCATCTGCAAAGACACAGACTGGGTAGGTCTGTGCCAGAAAATCTGTGTCTGTTTCCTCATTTTCCCTGTCTACTGTGTTCCACTCTCTTGAGTTTCACTAAAAAGTGAAGGATTTGAAGGTCCCTGGGATATTGAGGTCTTGGCAAATCTTCCCTCTTCTTGGCAGAGTGAGCCCTCCTTCAGTGAGCCGAGGAGATGAGGCTCTCACAGAAACTGGGTCTAGCACTTTTTTTCTAAGAATGTTGCCTCTAGCCTGTGGAATTTGTTAGAACATCCATCTAACCTAGGCCACCATGTGTGCAGGTAGCTCTGACAGATGAACTGGCGTGATCTGTGCTACACAACCTGCCGAGTGTGAACATCTCTCATCAGTTGGGAGGAGGATGGCTATACTTGTTAAGTGTAGATTCTTAATAAACAACAGCATCCCGTCCCAAATATGGGGACCAGAGCCACGTGTAAGACTCTGGACTCTACAAGGTTGTATCCTTGAAGTTTGGAGTCCACTCATCGCATAGACTCTTGAAAAGTATTAAATTGTAATCCAGAATGAAGATGAGCCATGCTAGGAGGTGGTGAGGATTAGGTGCCAATAAGCCCATCTTTCCTATTCTAGTTGACCTGTTAATTCACCGGAATCCATGCATTTTCCCCGGGGAGCCTGTGATTCCCTGAAGCTATCTCTGATAGTAAAAAGTATTTTTTTTTTCCTAAGCTGTGAGTGCCGGGGCCTCACATCTGTAATACCTAGCTATTCAGGAGACTGGAATCTAAGAGGGTCCCATTTCAACACCAGCCCAGGCAGGAAAACTTGTGAGATGCTTTTCTCCGAGGAACCACCCAAAAGCCAAAAGCGAAGCTATGGCTCAAGTAGGAAAGAGCTAGCCTTGAGCATTAAAGCTCAGAGACAGCACCCAGGTGCATGCTCACACTCGTGTGCTCTCTGGCTCTCTCTCTCACTCGCTCTCTCTTTCTTTCTCTTTCTCTCTCTCCATTTCTTCCCCTCTCCTCCTTTTTCTCTTTCCCTTTCTCCTTCTCTCTCTCTCTTCCTCCCCCTCTCCTCTCCCTCCCTCTCCTCCTCCCTCCCCACCTCCACACAATTTTTTTTCAGAAGTCTGCAACTGTCATCAAGTTCCCCAAGGGGTTTATGATCTCAGCAGGTTTCCCTGGATGGTATGCTGCTTGCAAGCAGGGACCCTATCTCATTCTGTGTCTTACAAACATACAGCACAGAACCCTGCCCTGACACTCACTCAAAGCCTGCCCTCTTTACCAGTGGAGTTTGGGAACTTCTCAACTTGAAGACTTTTCAGTATCAACATGGAACGATTCAGTTTGTATTCTTTATGAAAGCTGCTTAAACCAGAGAGGCTTCAGCATTGCAGTAGAGCTTACATTTATTTGTCTTGTTATACATGAGACCAGGTTGTTAGAAGATATTAAAGCCATTGCTTGTCTCTAAATGTTTTGTAACTTAGCTCAGCTGGTGTTTTTCCTTATGTTCTCCTAACCTCTACCTACTCCCAGAGTAAGGAGGAAGACATGACCTGGCTCAGAAGAGGTGAGAGGAAAATGTGCTGTTAGATCCTTGTTTTCATAGCAAAGGCGAGTCTTGAAAGATGGAATGCCAAGGAAGTAATGAACTCTAACCAATTGACTTTTCTTAACCAGAAGAACTTGGCCTGACTGTTACAAGTCCATTTTAATATTATTTTCAGGCCCACTAGTGGGTATGGGGGATATAATTGAACAAAGTGTTTACAGTTGTACAGGCTATTAGAAGAATCCATGTGAATGGTACAGTCAGTAATTGCTTAAGCTCATGGTGTGTCGGCCCAAATCTTAGAACTTTTTTCTGTTTGGCATCTGAGTGCACAGCTGGAGGTATGGGTGGGGCAGAAGGGCAAAGAGAGAGGAAGCAGGGGGAAATCTGAGGGACAGTGCACGCAGGTGTGGTCTACACAGGTGCTAGGATCTGGTTGTCTGAGGAGGTCCAAAGTGTGGATGCACGGAAGGGTTGTAGGCATCTAACCAGGCTTCATAAACCTATATGCTTAGGTGCTTCTGGTGAAAGGGAAAAGCTGAGACCCAAGTCCCACTCAGCAGTTTACTTTCCTACTTTTCTATCTGAGCCTTGCAGATATTCTTGGAGCCGGATATGTATATATAACAAAGGTGCCGCTGAAGTGGTGAGAAACCTGCCTTCTCTTTCCTCTCCAGGCAGGACTCTCTTGTAAGGTCTGTTGGTGGGATTACATTTATGGCTCTTTAGGAAAAATCATGCAAGCTTGGAGTGCAAAGCTTTGGAAGCTGGTGTGAAAGGGAGGTAAGAAGAACATAAATTCCTGGTAATGGATCTAGGGGCCGCACAGTGAGCCGCATGCTTCCCACCTCCGCTCACACGCACACAAAAACCCAACCCCAGTGTCTGGATCCTTCGAGTTCCCTTTGGGGATTTTCCTCTTTGTCTCCTGGGGATTTCTTGCCTGTTAAAATTTCATATGTTGAACCATTACTTCTTTTTTTTTTTTTTCCTGGGGACAGAGTGGGTATAGATGAGAAGAGGCAGGTAGATAAAAGTAGTTACTTAAACACACGTGGGGGCAGGACTTCCAGGTTTGGAGGCCAGATTAAGATGCAGAGGAGCATGCGAGGTTGATGATTATATTTCGGGAGAGTTAATTGATGGAAGGTGAAGGCAGACAAAGAACTGCTGCTTACTGCCTTCTTGAATCCCAATCAGGAATTATGATTAAAGTCGCAGCGAGACAACAGAGGGCTGATGAATTGGTGGCTTTTTTTTTTCCTTTTTTGCCGTCATTCACACTTGATTGACTTCAACCTTTCAAGTGCAAAAGTCTCTCTTTTCCATTATTATTCATAGCCATCTGAGTTTTTCTAATTAAAGTGTATGAAAACAATTACTGATCCGTCGTACTGAGTCTGTTAGAGGGAATGTCTGCCTTACTGTAATGCGTATAAAAAGCCCACAGTTTTCTATAATGATGTGCAGCTGAGGTGTTAGATAATTTTATTCTTTTTTACTCTGTAGGGCTTTTTTTTTTATTTCTCATGATTCATTTTTCATAATTCCTAAAGATCCCAGGAAAGGCCTGGTCCTGCAGCTACAGCTGAGAAAGGAGGTTGGGGGGAGTCTTTTTTCCTTTCCCTCCCCCACCTCGTACCCCCAACCTCGTGCTCCCCCTCAGCTGAGGACTATAAATTAATCGGTGACCTTTCACTTCTTGGATTCCCACTGGACTCCCCAACCACAGTGGTCAGAAATGCTTTCTATTAAAAAGAAAATAGATGGAATGGGTTTGGCGATCTCCACTCCATTCCTAACGATTCATCAGCAGCTAGCCCTAACCAGCTGCGCGCGAGCTTTATGTGCACGCCGGTGTGATGGGATGGCCGTGGAGCAGGAATGCCTTGATCCTCACGTTCACCTGCTGCGTACCTGCTCTTCGTCAACGTGGGGTTCTTAGGCCCTCCTCGCCAGTGCCTGTTGCTTAAGTTTTACACCTCTTGGCATCTGGGCTGTGGAAAGCATTCTAACCCCCATCAGCATGGTGGGGGTTCTTTTTCTGGTGTCAGTGGCTGCAGTTATCTGGGTCCCTCTAGTTGCTGAGTCTCTGGCTGCTCAGACCTTCCTAGTGTACGTGTCAGCAGGCCATTTGAGCAATTAACAGGATCTTCAAACTATAAAAGATTAACAGTATTTTTTTTTAAAGTAGTAGTTTTGAATTGAAAAAAATGCAGGTGCTCCAGCCTGTGCAACAGAAAGGAAGCTTTCTTGCAGGAGGGTCACGTTTGATGGGAGCACTGGGCCTCACGTGGAAGGGACAGTGGGGACCACAGTTTGCGTTCTTGTAACCTCCCGGTCAACCCAGGTTTTCCGGCTGTCATTAGATGGGAGAAGATTTCATCCTCACTGGGAACTATCATTGCCACCTAACCCTCCTGCCTCACAGTGTGCAGAGGGACACTGCTTCTTTTTAAATGAAGAACTTTGCACCTTACATGGGATAGTGAGGAGGGTTTATGGACAAATGCTAGCTTGTCAGAACAGCTTCTGGTCACACAGCGGGACAGCCTAGAGAAAAGTTGGAGGCTCTGACCTAACATTGTAGCTACTCAGGTCCAAGCTAATGCTGCTGGACTCATTCTACTAGGGTACAGAGGCCCGGGTCTTAGGGATGGGCTACCCTGTTGTTCAGTGCTGGGCAGGCCTCCCATGAGACCAGGGTCGCTGTGTGGACGTTCCCTCTGGTTTTGTGTACCTCAGGAAAAGAGTCCCAAGAGAAACCCTGGCTTAAATAAGCCATGAAAAAGGCTTGTTTGTACTCGATAGCAGCTTGTAAAGGGTTACAAAATGTTGTTTCCTGGAAAATCTGCCAGTGTGTCTGCATGTCCTTAGCCTTCCCTTTGTTCTCCTCTCCTCCGTACCCTTTACTTCCCTCTTACTCCCCTCCTCTCCTTGCCTGAATACATTCTGAAAACAGTACTACAATGCTGCCTGCTTCAAGATTACAGTGTACTTTACTAGGTATGATTTAATTAGGGCCCTTATTATGTTTTCAGCAGCTTAAGGTGGGCCTTTCAACTTATCTACCTAATTGGTTGCACAAGAAGTTTCACAGCCCGTGACAAAACATTGTCAGTGATCAAAGTCAAAATTCCGCATAAAGGAAAAATATTAATAATAAGATTATTCTTCAAGTGTGCACTGCTAATTATGTCCAGAATGTAACCGTAGAAACACTTTTGACTGATGTGAGCTTTGTCTAATAAACATGAATCTTCAGTGAGCTATGAAAAGTGACACCTCGAGCTTTACACTGGTGAAGGCTAATTTTGCTTATTAACTAATTTTTTAAACCTTTCCTGTTTCCGTGCCTCTCTCCTCCCCAGTTGACTCTCCCTGTATCTCCGTGTCTTGCTTCTCAGGTGACCACCCCCGAGATGGTGATGCCCAGCAGCATGTTCCTCCCTGCAGCCGTTCCGGACCGAGACGGGACTTCCAATCCTGAAGAGGCAGGAAAGCAGCCTGGTTAGTATCATTCCTCCCAGGCCAAACTGTGCATACAGCCAGGGGCCAGGAATTCCTTACAATTACAAATTACACAGATGAGGGTCACTGTTGTCAATGTATGCTCTAGTTCTTGGGAGTCTGCTTGCATATTATTCGTGTGGTTTAAAAGTCAGAGAAATCTGTTTGAGGACCAGTGGGATGAGCAGGATTTGGGTGTGGCTGAGTGCCATAGACTATGTACTTAGTGAATAGGCAGAGACTCATTCAGTAGCCGCAAGCACCCACCCACCGTCCTCAGCTGTTAAGCGCGGCGTTTCTGAGGACGCTGGGGCAGCTGTCTTTGCACAGAGTTCCTTGAGTCTTCTGGTACTGACTTATGATGAAGTGGATAGGTGCACTTAGAAAGACCTTTGCCAGAGGCATACTTGTAGGTACCGCTCAGTAGCTCCCAGCCAGATGGGTCATTAGGCCTCTGTGAAGCTGTTCCAAGTCTTTCCACAGGCATCTAAGGCTGAAATTAGGAAGAGTTCAGCCATACGTTGTGGCCCATCCCTCTTCTTTGTGATTTTCCCATATTAGGCAGTAGCAGACAGATGACCTGAAAAGGGCCAGTGTATTTATGAATATGATGATCTCACTGTAGAAAAGAAATTTAATGTATTTTAATAACTGGCCACTGAACGTTCATCACTTATTGAATAGACATGACAGTCCAAAGTTACATTATAGGTACTGAGGTGTATTTAAGTAGCATTATTAGTGAGACTCTGGGTTTGATCCCTGGCACGGGTGGGGGGGGGTGTTTGTGAGGGGGGGTGGTTCAGGGGAGCAGAGAATTCACTTTATAACAAGAAATAGTGCCTAAAAAATAATCCAGATTTTTCTTATACTACAATGGACAACAGTTCTTGTAAATGCTTTACCCATTAAGACTGCATTGATTTACATACTTTGCAATTCAGAATCCACTGTGCTAAATCCTTATCACATAAAAAAATGAACATAAAAGGGAAAGCCCATCTAAGATCAGTAACTTTCAAATTAGTTCTTGAGAAAGTGAGTATTCTGAGCCAAGCAATTAGATACTATTTAGAAGACTGTTAGATCTATGATATGGCATAGGTCTATTATGAATTGGAACTTCTGCTGTCCTTTTATTTCTCTCAGCTCATGTGCTTCTTTCTGGGTGATAATGTGTACTCTGTTGGCTCTGTGGAGAGATTCAGGCTGGGCACTTCCTTTATTCATAAAGCCTGGCTCGGTCACTGGCTCTGGATGCCACCTGGAAACAAAGCCTTCTTTATCTTTGGGCTTGATGTTTTCTTTTTACAGACACTTCGGAGGATCTGGGAAAGAGCATCTTACCCTCTGTGAGCACAGAGCACAGTGGAGACTTGAAACCCTCTTCTGCTGAGCCCGGCTCTGTGAGAGAAGACTCAGGCTTCCTCTGCTGGAAGAAGGGGTGCAACCAGGTTTTCAAAACTTCGGCGGCCCTTCAAACCCATTTCAATGAGGTGCATGCCAAGAGGCCTCAGCTGCCCGTGTCAGATCGCCATGTGTATAAGTACCGCTGTAACCAGTGCAGCCTGGCTTTTAAGACCATTGAAAAGCTGCAGCTCCATTCCCAGTACCATGTGATCAGAGCTGCCACCATGTGCTGTCTTTGTCAGCGCAGTTTCCGAACTTTCCAGGCTCTGAAAAAACACCTTGAGACAAGCCACTTGGAGCTGAGTGAGGCTGACATCCAGCAACTCTATGGTGGCCTTCTAGCCAATGGAGACCTCCTGGCAATGGGAGACCCCACCCTGGCCGAGGACCACACCATAATTGTTGAAGAAGACAAGGAGGAGGAAAGCGACTTGGAAGATAAACAGAGCCCAACAGGCAGTGACTCTGGGTCTGTCCAAGAAGATTCTGGCTCTGAGCCAAAGAGAGCTCTGCCTTTCAGAAAAGGCCCCAATTTCACCATGGAAAAGTTTCTAGATCCTTCTCGCCCTTACAAGTGTACTGTCTGTAAGGAGTCTTTTACGCAAAAGAATATCCTCTTAGTGCACTACAACTCTGTCTCCCACCTGCATAAGTTAAAGAGAGCCCTTCAAGAATCGGCAACGGGTCAGCCAGAACCCACCAGCAGTCCAGACAACAAACCTTTTAAGTGTAACACTTGTAACGTGGCTTATAGCCAGAGTTCCACTCTGGAGATTCACATGAGGTCTGTGTTGCATCAAACCAAGGCTCGGGCAGCCAAACTGGAGGCTGCCAGTGGCAGCAGCAACGGGACTGGGAGTAGTGGCGGCATCTCCCTGAGCTCCTCCACGCCAAGTCCTGTGAGCACCAGCAGCACTAACAGCTTTACCACCACCAATCCCAGTACCACTGGCATCACTCCGAGCCCCAACTTGCTGAGCCAAGTGCCTGCCGAGAGTGTGAGTGTGGGGATGCCAGCCCTGGGGAACCCCATCAGTGCCAACATTGTGTCCCCTTCAGAGCCCAAAGAGGCCAATCGCAAAAAGCTAGCAGATATGATTGCATCCAGGCAGCAGCAGCAACAGCAGCAGCAGCAGCAGCAGCAGCAGCAGCAAGCACAGACATTGGCCCAGGCCCAGGCTCAAGTTCAGGCTCACTTGCAGCAGGAGTTACAGCAGCAGGCTGCCCTGATCCAGTCTCAGCTGTTTAACCCCACCCTCCTCCCTCACTTCCCCATGACCACTGAGACTCTGCTCCAGCTGCAGCAGCAACAGCACCTCCTCTTCCCTTTCTACATCCCCAGCGCGGAGTTCCAGCTCAACCCCGAGGTGAGCTTGCCTGTGACCAGTGGGGCGCTGACGCTGACAGGGACGGGCCCAGGGCTGCTGGAAGATTTGAAGGCTCAGGTTCAGATCCCACAGCAGAGCCACCAGCAGCTGCTGCAGCAGCAGCAGCAGCAGCAGCAGAGTCAGCTCTCTCTGTCTCAGAGTCACACTGCCCTCCTTCAGCCAGGTCAGCACCCCGAAAAGAAAAACAAACTGGTCATCAAAGAAAAGGAAAAAGAAGGCCAGAGAGAGAGGGAAGGTGTGGAAGGAGGAGAAGGCAACACAGGGCCAAAGGAGCTGCTGCCAGATGGCGTGAAGGCCAAAGAGAAGAAAGAGTTGGCGCCGGGGGGTAGCTCTGAGCCATCCATGCTGCCGCCACGCATCGCTTCGGACGCCAGGGGGAATGCCACCAAGGCCTTGCTGGAGAACTTCGGCTTTGAGCTGGTCATTCAGTACAATGAGAACAAGCAGAAGGTGCAGAAGAAGAACGGGAAGGCAGAGCAGGGAGAGAACCTGGAGAAGCTCGAGTGCGACTCCTGTGGCAAGTTGTTTTCCAACATCTTGATTTTAAAGAGTCATCAGGAGCACGTTCACCAGAATTACTTCCCCTTTAAACAGCTCGAGAGGTTTGCCAAACAATACCGAGAGCATTATGATAAACTGTACCCTCTGAGGCCGCAGACCCCAGAGCCGCCCCCCCCCCCCCCCCCCCCCCCGCCCCCACCACTCCCTGCGGCACCGCCTCAGCCAGCATCCACGCCCGCCATTCCCGCCTCGGCCCCACCCATCACGTCGCCTACCATTGCCCCAGCGCAGCCCTCTGTGCCACTTACCCAGCTGTCCATGCCCATGGAGCTGCCCATCTTTTCCCCACTGATGATGCAGACTATGCCACTGCAGACTCTGCCGGCCCAGCTGCCCCCTCAGCTGGGCCCCGTGGAGCCGCTGCCTGCTGACCTGGCCCAGCTGTACCAGCATCAGCTGAACCCAACCTTGCTCCAGCAGCAAAACAAGAGGCCTCGGACCAGGATCACAGATGACCAGCTCCGCGTGCTCCGGCAGTATTTTGACATTAACAACTCCCCCAGCGAAGAGCAGATCAAGGAGATGGCAGACAAGTCCGGGCTGCCCCAGAAAGTAATCAAGCACTGGTTCAGGAACACACTCTTCAAAGAGCGGCAGCGTAACAAAGACTCCCCTTACAACTTCAGCAACCCGCCCATCACCAGCCTGGAGGAGCTCAAGATCGACTCCCGGCCCCCTTCGCCAGAACCTCAGAAGCAGGAGTACTGGGGGAGCAAGAGGTCTTCGAGAACGAGGTTCACCGACTACCAGCTGAGGGTCCTCCAGGACTTCTTCGATGCTAACGCCTACCCAAAGGATGATGAATTTGAGCAACTCTCGAATTTACTGAACCTTCCTACCCGAGTCATAGTGGTGTGGTTTCAGAATGCACGACAGAAGGCCAGGAAAAACTATGAGAACCAGGGAGAGGGCAAAGATGGAGAGCGGCGTGAGCTTACCAATGACAGGTACATCCGGACGAGCAACTTGAACTACCAGTGCAAAAAGTGTAGCCTCGTGTTCCAGCGCATCTTCGATCTCATCAAGCACCAGAAGAAGCTGTGTTACAAGGATGAGGACGAGGAGGGGCAGGATGACAGCCAGAACGAGGACTCCATGGATGCCACAGAGATCCTCACGCCCACCAGCTCGTCCTGCAGCACCCCGATGCCCGCACAGGCTTACAGCGCCCCTGCCCCGGCAGCCAGTACAGCCCCCTCTGCTTTCCTGCAGCTCACAGCAGAGGCCGATGAACTGGCCACCTTCAATGCAAAAGCAGAGGCGAGTGATGAGAAACCAAAGCAGGCTGAACCTCCTAGTGCACAGCCAACCCAAACCCAAGAAAAGCAAGGACAACCAAAGCCAGAGCTGCAGCAGCAAGACCAGCCTGAGCAGAAGCCCAGTGCGCCCCAGCAGAAGCTTCCGCAGCTGGCTGCCCCGCCTTCCTTACCACAGCCTCCTCCCCAGGCAGCGCCCCCACAGTGTCCCCTGCCCCAGTCCAGCCCCAGTCCTTCTCAGCTCTCTCATCTGCCCCTCAAGCCGCTCCACACGTCAACTCCTCAGCAGCTGGCCAACCTACCTCCTCAGCTAATCCCCTACCAGTGCGAGCAGTGTAAGCTGGCCTTCCCGTCCTTCGAGCACTGGCAGGAGCATCAGCAGCTCCACTTCCTGAGTGCACAGAACCAGTTCATCCACCCCCAGTTTTTGGACAGGTCACTGGACATGCCTTTCATGCTGTTTGACCCCAGTAATCCACTCCTGGCCAGCCAGCTGCTCTCCGGGGCCATACCTCAGATTCCGGCGAGCTCTGCCACGTCTCCTTCTACGCCAACCTCCACCATGAACACGCTGAAGAGGAAGCTGGAGGAAAAGGCCAGCGCAAGCCCTGGCGAAAATGACAGCGGGACAGGAGAAGAGCCTCAGAGAGACAAGCGGCTGAGGACCACTATTACCCCGGAGCAGCTAGAAATTCTCTACCAAAAGTATCTGCTGGACTCCAATCCAACTCGAAAGATGTTGGATCACATCGCGCATGAGGTGGGCCTAAAGAAACGCGTGGTGCAAGTCTGGTTTCAGAACACCCGGGCTCGAGAGAGGAAAGGACAGTTCCGGGCTGTGGGTCCAGCCCAGGCCCACAGGAGATGCCCTTTTTGCAGAGCTCTCTTCAAAGCCAAGACTGCCCTCGAGGCTCATATCCGCTCGCGCCACTGGCACGAAGCCAAGAGAGCTGGCTACAACCTCACTCTGTCCGCCATGCTCCTGGACTGCGATGGGGGGCTCCAGATGAAGGGAGATATTTTTGATGGAACTAGCTTTTCCCACCTTCCCCCAAGCAGTAGTGACGGCCAGGGGGTCCCCCTTTCGCCTGTGAGTAAAACCATGGAGTTGTCTCCCAGAACTCTCCTGAGCCCTTCCTCCATCAAGGTGGAAGGGATCGAAGACTTTGAAAGCCCCTCCATGTCCTCGGTGAATCTGAACTTCGACCAAACCAAGCTGGACAACGATGACTGCTCCTCCGTCAACACGGCAATCACCGATACCACCACGGGGGACGAGGGCAATGCGGACAACGACAGCGCGACGGGAATAGCAACGGAAACCAAATCTTCTGCACCCAGCGAGGGGCTGACCAAAGCAGCCATGATGGCGATGTCGGAGTATGAAGATCGATTGTCATCTGGCCTAGTCAGCCCAGCCCCAAGCTTTTACAGCAAGGAATATGACAATGAAGGTACAGTGGACTACAGTGAAACCTCAAGCCTTGCAGACCCCTGCTCCCCGAGTCCGGGCGCAAGCGGGTCTGCGGGCAAATCTGGTGACAACGGGGATCGGCCTGGGCAGAAACGTTTCCGCACTCAGATGACAAATCTGCAGCTGAAGGTCCTCAAGTCATGCTTTAATGACTACAGGACACCCACCATGCTGGAGTGCGAGGTCCTGGGCAATGACATTGGACTGCCAAAGAGAGTTGTTCAGGTCTGGTTCCAGAATGCCCGGGCAAAAGAAAAGAAGTCCAAGTTAAGCATGGCCAAGCATTTTGGTATAAACCAAACGAGTTACGAGGGACCCAAAACAGAGTGCACTTTGTGTGGCATCAAGTACAGCGCTCGGCTGTCTGTACGTGACCATATCTTTTCCCAACAGCACATCTCCAAAGTTAAAGATACCATCGGAAGCCAGTTGGACAAGGAGAAAGAGTACTTCGACCCAGCCACTGTCCGTCAGTTGATGGCTCAACAAGAGCTGGACCGGATTAAAAAGGCCAATGAAGTCCTTGGACTGGCAGCTCAGCAACAAGGGATGTTTGACAACGCCCCTCTTCAGGCTCTCAACCTTCCCACGGCGTATCCGGCGCTCCAGGGCATTCCTCCTGTGTTGCTCCCGGGCCTCAACAGCCCCTCTTTGCCAGGCTTTACTCCATCGAACACAGGTGGGTCCTTCTCCAGAAGATTGGTTTCCCATGCTCCACGGGAGTTCAGTATTGTTACATGATCACCACCCCTGCTCTGAGTGCCGGGCAGGGAGGAATCTTCCCACTCAGCTTCTGTAGGAGCAGCAGGGCTGCAGTTCCCAGTTGCCAGTCTCCCCCGGGCCAGTGTATGCACGGGCTCTTTGCCCCTCTAGTCTGGAGATGGCAGCTCCTGGAGCGAATAGTCTCCTCCAAAACTTCTTCTCACACCCACACCCTGTGTTCAGTACCATAACCACAGTGTCTATTAATAGGGAAGCAATAAGGTATCTTAATTTCTAGGGGATTTTCAACCAGACCATTCCATTTGGTTCTTGTAGACATGCTGATCCATTTAGGTATTCATTTCAGCAACAACAAGAAAAACAACAACAAAACTGAACAGCCTACCTAATTCTGCATTGCACCCTGTGGAAACTGGCCCAAGAGAATTTGTCAACTCTTTGCCCTCATCTAGGGTCCTTGCCATCTTTTTTTTTTTTTTTTAGAGGAGCTCCTCTATGGCCGACGTGCTATCAGGAAGAAGCTCCTGTGTGCTGGGTCCTGGAGGCTCTTCTAGCCAGAACGGTGGCTCTGTTCATCTCCCAGGAGACTGTGCCTCTCTGTTTGACCAGGAATCTTGTATTTGGGCAAGATGGTTCTTAGTTTCGACATGTACATGTAGAATTTGGGGATCCTCAGTCACTTACCCTTTCTCTTCTTCCTCTTTCCATTTAGAAGCAAATACTTGGTACTTTTTATATTCTTACTTACTAGGGAGTTTTGCAGTTCTTTCTCCACACCTTTCTTGGTTCTCCCTGTCTGGATCCAGCTGTCTTTGGTAAACTGGGTCTTCCCTTCTGGGGCCCTGTGAGGACTAGGCATAAGGCTACCAAGTCTGCCTCCCTGACCACTCACCAAAGGAGAGTCCTGGCTGCCTGGCCTTCCCAGGAGCTCAGCTCTGGTTTCTAATGGACTTAATTCCAACTTGTGCACTTTGGGCACTGTTTCACAGAACACGAAACTGCTGCTCCCAAAGAGAATAAAAGAGAGCATTAAGACATAGATATAAAAAAAAAAAGACATTGATATCATTGCACATATATGCTAGCAAGCACTGCCATTGTCACACCTCTCTGAGGTAAAAGCCAGCTAGACATAAGCCAAGCAACAAGCCATAGAACATGGCCACGCACTGAATTGTCCTTGCAGTTCAGGTCCTTGGCAGAGGGACTTGGGAAGGCCCAGCGTATCGTGGTAATGTGAAGAAAAGAAAAGAAAAAAAAAAGTAGAATCAGAATGTCTGATCTATTCCCCTTGTTTTACAGATGAGAAAACTGAGGCCCAGAGAGGTCAAGACCATTCAGCAAGCTAGGGTAGGAGCCAGAGCTCCCACCCAGGCCTCCGGGCTCCCAGTGCTATGCTCCTTCCACAACACCCAATATGAGCCAGTCAGTCAACAGGTATATGCTTAGTGCCGCTCAGGTTCTGACCAGTTAGGAGTGGACTTCAGGTAGAAAGCTATGCTCTTGTTCAAGGCAGCCACATGTGTCCTAGTTACTGTGACCTGCACTGGAGGATAGCTCTCAAGAGTACTGGAATGGGAGGGAAGGAACTTGCATTTATTATACGCCAAGCCCAGTGCTAAGTAAGCTCTTCCCATATGGCCTTTGTTTAATTCCTGTAGCTATCTCTTGTGGAAAACTGAGGTTCTAAAGGCTACACATCTGCTGTGTGTCAGCCAGAACCCACATAGGGGGCAGTCTGACCCCAGCAGTGCATAACTTAGGTCTCCAAAGGATGACGTACCATGTTCAGTTCTGATCTTATACATCAGAAAACCAAGGTCACCGAATCACTGGGAGACTGTGTGAGCTATTCTGTCTCGTATGGCTAAGTGAAGAGTTCGGTAGCTCAGTGGTTCGTTTAGTAAATGTTTCTTAAAATTTGAGTCTCTTATCTAGTCTGACTGTTGAACATGCACAGTTAGTTTAAGGCTTTCTGACATGAGTCTTACTTTTAAGCCATGGGGGGATCTGTAGATATTACTTCCTTGCCCTACAGACATTTTGGCTCTGACCCAATGCTTCGAATCTGGAGTGGGCCCATTGTCTCTTGGTGGACATAATAAAGTCATGTCCCGGGCTTAGAATTATAATCCACTCTGCCTCACCTGGGCCCATTTCCCCAATCAGCCTCTGAATTCTTCTGGTCAGTCAGTCATCTTTGGTTTTATTCTCCGACATATACATGGAACAGACCGGCAATTCCCTTTTCTTTTTTTTTTTTTAGAAGAGATGAGCCAAGCCCTGCATTGGGTATCTAGTGTGAGTGGATGTTTTCCTAGGATTGGCAACTTAAAGCAACCTTCACTCTTTTCATCTGGAAGCTGAAGTTTTTTAGTCCAGTGAACCCTGTGCCACTTGAGCTGGAAATCAAGTCTTCACCCACACTGGAGCTTTAGCATGCCCCCAGTCAGGATAGTGTGATGCTATGAAATCCCTACCTCAAACTTTCTGGCAGAAGGTAGTCCAGATGAAATATATTGAGGGACTGTTAGACTTGTTCTCTTGGGCTGAGGTTTGAACTGAGGGCCCCATGCTTGGGAGGCAGGTACTTTGCCACTGAGCCACGCAGCCATCCTTTTTCTACGCTCGTTATTTTGAGATAGGATCACAATCCTTATTTTATACTTCCTGTTGTAGGTGGGATGACAGGCATGTACCACCGTGCCCAACTTCTTTCATTGAGATGGAACTTGAAGCATTTTTTGCTCAGGCTGGCCTTGAACCATAATCTTTCAGATCTCAGCTTCCTGAATAACTAGAATTTCAGGTGTAAACTACACTAAGCGGAGAATTTTTTTTTTTTTTTATACTGTGGTGTCCTGTGAGATGGGAAGGCTGTGTACTATCTAGTTCTGGGGATGTGGTAACTGTGGAGGTTTTCCAAGGTCTGCACATTTCTTGACTCCTGGTTTTCTCAGAATCTCATCATGCAGCACTCTATCCATTCATGCCCCCTTTGAACCTTTCTTGCCCAAAGCATGGTGTGCTCTCTTCCATCATTCTGGAACCAGACTCCATCCAGGAGATAGCCATAAGGTCAGGGAGGATACTAGGTGAAGGCTTTTCAGGAAGTGGTAGCTCGGGATTAAGCATGATTAAGGATGGCTGTAGTTGGTGTGGTGACTATGCACAGTGGCAGCGGAGGGAGACTGTGATGATCTTGGGAACCAAGGGTGTCCGCACCTCAGGCTATTCTGGCATAACTCCTTTTCCTATGGCTGGTTTTGGACGCAACTGCAGCCCCAGTGGCTGCACAGGGCCCCCTGGGGGCCCTGTGGTGATGGTGGTGATAGTTTTATTCAGTTAATCTGCCCCCAAGGACCCTGGAGCAGATTTCCCTGAATAGGTTGTTTCTAAGTCTTCCCAAGCCCTTGCTCAACATTCCCACCCATCTTTTCTCCACCTTCCTAATGCAATTGTTGAAGTGTGGCGATGGAGGTCAGAGAGAAAACACATAGGCAGCACCTACTTCCTTTGCTCCTGTGACCTTAGGGCCTTGGCAGGGTTCTTGTGTTGACTCTCTTCTCTAGACAGCTTCTGGTGGGGCCTTTTGCTATTCTATTCTGTGGCACTTTGATGAAGGCTTTTGGTTCAAATGGGTCCCAGCTGGAAACAGCCACTTTTGGGGCCTCCAGACTAATCACATTGGGCAGAGGGAACAGTATCTGGGAAGACACGGCAAGGAAAAGGTGTACTCGTGGGTTCTTGCGCTCCAGGGTTCGGCCCCGTTGGGCAGGAAGGTGTTGAAGGTTGCTTAGCCAGACAGGGAAGCCATGCGAGTTGGTGGAAACACTCTCCCCCGTCCCAGAGCCCGGTGGGGTACTTCTCCGTGCCATACTGGTTTCAAAAGGATCCTTTTGAGGTTTAAACTCTGACCTCGAAGACTCGGTGCCCATGATCACACGAGTGAAAACGTCTTGGGCGTCATCCTCCCCGGCCTCGACTGACCTGTGATTTCTCTTTCTTCTCTCTCTATTCCTTTCAGCTTTAACGTCTCCTAAACCGAACTTGATGGGTCTGCCCAGCACAACAGTTCCTTCCCCCGGCCTCCCCACCTCTGGATTACCAAATAAACCGTCCTCAGCGTCGCTGAGCTCCCCGACCCCAGCACAAGCCACCCTGGCGATGGCCCCTCAGCAGCCCCTCCCGCCGCAGCC